CCCCCCCCCTCCTCCCCCCCCACATCACATTTGTTGTTAATTTTTCCATACTTATGGTATAAGTATTTATAGGCTTCTTTTTCAATTCATGCAGGTAATCTAGAAGAGTGCAAAGAATTCTTCTGGACAATATATAGTTTTATATACTTTCTCGGTACTTATCTGAAGCCACATGTGAGTATCTAATGCATTCATGCTAATAATTTCTTGTGTGTTTAATAACACTTCTCTCCTATCACCTCTCTCAAATCATCATCAAAAAGATTAAAACCACGGTATTATATTATTGGAGATACTTTATCGTCGGTATTAGTTTAATAATTTACTTCACCTGAATTTCAATGAATTTGTACTCCATGCAGGTAGCTCTCTTAAATGGTATTACTATGGGTGGTGGGGCTGGAATTTCGATTCCGGGCACATTCAGGGTTGCAACTGATAAAACTGTACGAGACATAAATTTCAATGCTTTGATTTCTTTTTCATTTGTTTCTGTTAGTCGCCTGCTACTTTTTTGCAGCTACGAATATTTATTTAGATACGAAATGCTACTATTTATATGTCGATAGTCATATGGCTTATATATTTTTCTGTCCCAAGAATTGTTTTGCAAACAATGACATGACAATGCAACTGCAAAACTGAACATTTTTTTAAGCACAAAGAAACCTTAACTGAGAAATTAAAAACGTAAAAATACATAGAGAACACTGAATTCATTTCCAATTACCGCAGATTTTTGCCACTCCCGAGACATTAATTGGCTTCCATCCAGATGCCGGGGCATCTTTTTACCTCTCCCATCTTCCTGGCTATTTGGGTAAAATGCCATTTTTATTTTATTTGTTTCACGTTAGTCCTTATTACAATTCTTTTAATTTGTGATGCTACACCGTTTCTGGTTAGCTTGTTTGTAAAGCTTTTAGAAGCTACTCGATTATAACTTCAAAGTTTGCATTGTCACAAGTAAAATTAAAGACACGAACTCATTCCCTGCAGTAAAATCATCAAAAAATGACATGATATAAGCTTTTATTTTTGCTTTCATGATCTTATTTTTACTTCCAGGAGAATACTTGGCTCTGACGGGGGAGAAACTGAACGGTGCAGAAATGCTATCGTGTGGGCTCGCGACTCACTTTTCTCTAATCAAGGTCTTTCCCACAAACCATTTTTATTTTATTTATTATTATTTTTATTTTTGGACCATTGGGTTCTTTTGCATTTATCTTATGCACCGTCTTGCAATTTCAACTCGTCTTTTCTCATTCATCGTCTTTGCAGAAACTTCCATTAGTTGAAGAAAAGCTAGGAAACTTGACTACCGATGATCCCTCTGTTATTGAAGCTTGTTTAGGAGGACAAGGAGATACTGTTTTTCCAGATCAAACTAGTGTAATTCACAGGTATAAGTACTGAGGTTATTCTATATTTTAATGGTGATTTTTTATAAAATAAGCTGATTATTGGTTCTGGATCACACTCGAATATGATTGCGTAGGATTGGAACACTTGACAAATGTTTCAGCTGTGACACAGTTGAAGAAATTATTGAATCTTTGGTAAGCATTATGCTACTCTGTTTACGTTTTACGGTCATGTATTTTCATGAATATAAATAAATAAAAATGAAGGCATTTTCCGCAAAAACTTTATGCTGCAACCATTGGTACGATTTTTGAGTTTTAAACTTTCTGTAGGAAAACGAGGCTGCTAAAACGAACGACTCATGGTGTGTGTCAACTTTGAATAAACTTAAAGAAGCTGCGCCATTGAGTTTGAAGGTTTCGTTAAGATCTGTAAGTCCATTTTAACATTTTGTTCGGGTTTTTTCTTTTCTAAAACAATTTTCCAGTAGCTTAATTTGAATAAGTCTGTGTTCCAGATACGAGAAGGTAGATTTCAAACTCTTGATCAGTGCCTTATTCGCGAGTACAGAATGTCCCTACAAGGAATCTCCAGGCAGATAACTGGCGACTTTTGTGAGGTATATATAAATATATATAATGTTTTCTGAATTGCAATTCCACGAGCAAGCACAAATACAGAAGATGATGCTTCTTTCTTCCATTGTTAGGGCGTTCGTGCGAAGCTGGTTGATAAAGATTTCACACCCAAGGTGAACTACACTCTCTCTCTCTCTCACACACACACACACACACGCGCACACGCACATGATTGGTGTTGATTCTGTGAAAAATGCAGTGGGACCCTCCAACATTGGAACATGTATCTCAAGACATGGTTGATCAATACTTCACTCCTCTCTCTGCATTTGAGCCTGAACTAGACCTACCGATAAAGCAGCGCGAAGCATTTATATAATATTTTTATTGACAAAAGAGATACCTCATCGTATACGATTAGTGAACAGTTTCCTTAATTTTCGACTTTTCATTAATTTGTTATTTCACTAATGATGATCTAGGCGTATGACATTACGATAGTCTTTAAAACCTACCTGAAAGCATTTGAATTTGCAAACGTTAACTTTCGTTTTTCGGTCGGTTTAGCTGCCATTAATTGCGCAATATAATCAATTATATATAGCCTTGATTTGATCAAATCTATGTCAATTATTATCATGCCTAAAATTGCAGCAATTTACAAAATGTCTAATAAATAAATAAATAATACATATAAGCAAATACCTGTAACTATATATTTATGTTCTGCATATTGTACAAAACCCAGTCAGAACAAGTTCTGATTATTGCAATGTGGTTATGTTTAATGCTTTTCCAAAATTGAATAAAGACTTTTTGGCCTTAATAAATAATATCTATAAACCTAACTAAGTGAAGAAATGTCACACACTCGACTTTTGACCTAATAAACGGTCCGACAGTTCAAATACAGTCAGATGGGCTATTATTCTCCAGTTCTTGTAGCCTTGTAAGCATTCACCAGTTGTGTCTGCACATCCTGAGAAACTTGCATATGCTCTAAATATTCCATTGTGAATTCACCTTTACCCTGCACACATTAAATTTTTTTGATATAAAAAATCTAATTGAATTCCATTTCAATCGTTTGAAATTCTTTAAATAGTTCAATCTGTTTATTTGACCTGTGTCATTGAGCGGAGGGCAGTCGAGTAACCAAACATATTGTTGAGTGGTACCTGAAAGAAAAAAACAAAATATATGTAATAATTCGACTGAACTTGCAACAATAACAAACTCAAGAATTTTGGCCGAACGAATAAAATGCAGAGTATGAGATGTGTACATACATGTGCAGTTATTACACAATCGTCTGCTTCTTGGTCATTCCCAACAATCATGCCTTTCCTCCTGTATATCATCATAAAATACAAATCAGCTCGGATTGTGCTTTGCTAATACAGCCTTGCAAAATATATAAAACACACACACACACACACAAAAAAAAATGTATATTAGAGAAAAAGGCATACTGACTTGTTAATATCACCAGTGACAGTGCCCTGAAATTCTGAGGGGAATTTTAACTCCACCAGCATCACAGGTTCCAATATAACAGGTTTGCAGAGTTCATAGCACTACACCATAAAACGAAACAAATAAAATCAATAACAGCTGAAATAGATTACAGATTTACAGTTCACAATTAAAACAGAAAAGAAGTAGATAATAGCTTTTTCTTTTTTGTGGCATCACAAAAGAAAGCACCTGTCTGAAGGCATATATAGCAGCCAACTTAAAAGCAAGTTCACTAGAATCCACAGTATGAGCTGCACCGTCGGTCAATGCAATACGTATATTTTCAACAGGATGGCCTATAAGAGAACCCCTGTATAAACAAACATATCCGAGTTCAAATCAATAATCAAAAGCTCGTGCAATAAAATTAACAAGACTTTTTCAAAGATGAAAGTGGAACACTCTTGAAATGAAACCAGGCACCAGATCTTTCCCTTTCTAAGAGTACACTGGAATATTTCTAAGACATTTACCAATATGCTTGATATGGAATAGATATTATAATTATAAATGCAGCATAAGATCGTCAACTTTTATTCTTTTAAAAGCTGTCCTCTAGGGTTAATACCACAAAATGTTTGTACTTGTCATCGATCAGCAGAATGAATTTCCTAAAGGAAAAGGTTTGTATTATCTTATAGATGTTCTGCTACGATAATACAGAAGCCAAAAAAAGAAAAAGTACCATGAATCTGAACATGGATAAAGTTGATAGCATATCGCAACTTTGAAGAGTCTACTAAACTTTAGAGAAGGAAATCCAATACTTACGAGTTGGCAGCTTCTTTGAAACCCTTTTCAATTGCTGGCACAAAATTTGACGGTATAGCTTGTCCTACAAGCATGTTATCGAATTCGAATTTAGTTCCCGAGCCTGGTGGAAGTGGTTCCATAAACCTGTCAGAAAGAGAAACGAGATGTGAGATAATATTGATGACCTTTTCAGAAATTTCAGCAGACAACTACCGAAATCTTTCGGAATTTTCAGCAAACCCATTTTTTTCAGAATGTCAACCTCTAATACCTGAAAAGCTATTTTCGAATGAGAATTTCTTTTTCTTTTTCAAAATAAACTTACCCCGTAACTCTTCCATATTGACCTTGTCCTCCACTCTGCTTCTTATGTAGATAATCAAACTCGGCACGTTGAGTAATTGTCTCCCTGAAGTTGACACGAGGCTTCCCAACAGTTGCTTCAACCTTCACAATGAAAAACAAAGTTAGATTCATCATGAACGGGTAATAGGTTTTCCTGGAAATAAGCCAAACTGGGAACTACAACAACAGAGGGAAAAAAAACCTTGTACTCCCTCTTCATGCGCTCAACATATATGTCCAAATGGAGTTCTCCCATTCCCGATATAATTGTCTGTTCATCAAACCATTGCAGTAAACAAATGAAAATTATATGGTTCTTAAATAGGGATATCAATATAAGAAAGTCATATATACCTGCGAACTCTCAGGGTCTAAACCAACACGGAAAGTTGGATCCTCCCTCTGAAAGCGATTCAAAGCCTTTGAAAACTGTCAATCAAAGATATATATAAGTCTAAGTCTCTAAAAGGCGACAATTCGAAGGTTTACAATCATATCACTAAGATTAAATATAAAAAGGAAAAAAATCTATTGAAAGACTCACGTTTCCTCCAGAGTCTTTAGACACTGCTGATATTGCTAGTGACATAACTGGCTCAGGCACACTCATAGAGGTCATTGTATATCTGACTGACCCATCGGTAAATGTATCCCCTAGTAACATAATCACAGAAGCATATCAGAACGTAATAATGGAAACAATAAGACTTCCGATAAACAATCTGAACTAGTGCACTATAAACTAAAAGTAAATATTAAAATAGCTGTGTCCATGCAACAGTGTAATGTACCAGAAGCACAATCTACACCAAATACAGCAACTATCTGTCCTGCATGAGCTTGTTGAATGTCCTGTATAAAGAAAGAAAAGATAAATTAAAGGATTAGGAAATAAAAAATCTTAAAGGGGAGAAAATACAAACTTTATTAATAAAATGATTACTTGTAAGAAGAAAGATTAAAAATTAAACACTAAAAAGTTTGTGAATTTAAGAAAAATCAATAAACTTCATTCGCAACAAATGATACACTACTGCAACACAACAGGTAACTGACCTCCATTTCATTTGAATGCATCCGAACCAAGCGAGGAACCTATAAAAAAGTCAAATATGAATCAGGTCACAGCCACACAAGAGCGGTCTAATTGATTCAACTTAACACAAATCAATAGAGACATCTTCTCAAATGACCTTATAAGAATTGATCTCACAAAAATAAGAAGAAATACTGAAATCCAAGCCAGTTTACATAGAGCAGGCATAATCTGATTTTCCTTGCTCTTGAAATTGTCATCGTAACAAGTTGCAAATAGATTATCTTGATAACAAGCTTACCTTAACCTTCTTGCCTGTGTTCACATTAACTATAAAGTCCCCCTTCTTAATGACACCTTCGTAGATTCTGCAACAAAAAATAAGTTACGAAGTATAAATAGGTGGTAACTAGAGCGAAGCAATACGCAAAGGCCCTCACAAGGTAAAACAATAAAAAAAAAAAATAATAATATATAAATAAAATAAAATAAAAAAATAACAAAAAACCAATTCTAAAATACCTCAGATATGTCAACTGACCAAATCGCCCTTCTTCTAACTTGAAAGCTAAGGCAACAAGAGGACCAGCTGGACTTCCAGATAACTCAACCTGCAACAGCCAAAAGTAGCAAGTGGTAGTTGATATATTGATAGCCTGAAGATTTTTGATACAAAAATTTGAAAGATACTTCAAATGCATACCTTTTCCTCATCCTTAGACTGGTCAAGAGCTTGATTAGTAACTTCAGTTGGACAAGGCAAGTAGCTAAGTACACCATCAAGAAGTGGTTGAACGCCCTGAAACAACAATGTCATGAAAGAAATAAACTACATTTCCAGAATAAGGAAAATGTGAGGAAGTCAAGGACTGAGTAACAATAGAGAGAAATGAAGTTGGACATGATAAATAAATGTCAGGAACAGATTCTAAATAGTCAAAGAAACAAAAGGTTGTAAGCTGGTTTACATGTAGAGCAACCCCTTTTAGCTAGTTAAAGTGAAATATATAATTGTAGTCAACAACCAACATTATTTCTCGCTGAATCCATCTCATCGATAAAACAATCTGAGTATTTTAGTGCATGGATAATAAATGCTAGTCATCGTGAAACTTTTCGGCTTAAGCAATGGCAAGTAACACAAAAGGGTAACATGAGCATAAGAAAGACGAGCAGGACACAGAAGGGTAATATGAACATAAGAAAGGCGAGCACGAAAGGTCATCTATCATGAGAAGTGTCTATAGTATCACAAAAACAGTTTAATGCAAAGGCCTAATCCAATAATGTTTGATATAAAAGAGCCCACCTTGTTCTTGAAAGCACTCCCCATGAACACGGGCACAAATTTTCGTGATATGGTAGCTCTTCGAATTGCCTCCTGTGGAACACAAATTAAAGGTAAAAAACATAAGGTGTGGGCCATAAAACTATCCATTGAAGGAAAACAATGCATCAGAAAGCCAAGTTCTAAACAGCTGTAAGTGTCTAGTACGTCTGTGATAACCAATCAGTAGTGCTCTACAAAAAACAGCTAACCTATTACAGCCCCGGAGCAGATCTAAGTTCCCGTACTTATCATATTGAACCATAACAGTTTGTTCAAATTTTAAGCCATCCATTTTAGTTAAAAACATATCAAATATAATTTTTCAAGGTTCTTCTAAATCATAATCATTAAACTGACGTGCGTTTCAGATCCACAACCCTTCCTAAACCTCAATAGAAACTAATAACTGAGTACTAAGAGAAATCATGGAGAAATCATCATTGTCCTTGGACTTGATCCAATTTAAATGTTCTAAAACTCTGTATGAGTAGAATGCAAAGTACCCTAACACCAAAGATAAGTGGCCAATAGCTTATGAGATAGGAAGATGTTTCTATAAGCGGAAAAATTAAAGCAAAATTTTGAAGAAAAAAAAACGTGTTGGAAATGCAGTGAGATTATCATTACATACATCAAGATCAGCAGCTAATATAGGCTCATCGCTAAGAAATGCTTCCGCAAGCTTATCATCAACCTCTGAGACTGCTTCAACCAGTTCACGCCGCTTTTCTAGAGCTAATGCTTCGAGATCAGCAGGAATATCTTCAGATACAATGGTCTCACTGCAAAAGGAAAATTAATGAGTAATGATGCATAACAGACAAGCACTTTATTTGTCGGCCATAAGGTAGTAAACACACCCACTGGAACCATGAAAGTAACAAGCTTTCATGTTGACAAGATCAATAAGACCCTTGAAGTCTTCCTCCAAACCAATTGGCATCTGCACAGCAGCACTGTGGTGTCGAAGTTTCGTTCTCGCCTGTAAGAGATACAAAGGGAAATTCAGCTTACGGCTGTCATGTATTTCAAGCTTCAAAATCTTTTTTTTCTGGAATGTTGATTTGTACCTTTCAATAGAAGACAGTTAAGGAAACCGTGCAGCCTAAGTTAAATCTAAACTGCCTCTGCTACAAGGACAGTGCATATACCGAGTGCCAATTGTTTCATTGTTAATAATTATTATAGTTGCCTTTTTTTATTAGGGAATTTTCAAAATAACTTCAATGCATTAGTATCCTTGTTTGGCTTATTTTCCGTTAGATTATGATTCTTTATTTTGCAGAGGCCATTACATGTGTATGTATGGTTACCCTCATATATATGTATATACGCAATATAACAACTCTTTTTCCAATTTCATTATCCAATAATTTGAGAGTTTTAACTTTAACACACATTGAAAAATTAAGTAACCTGGTTCAGAACTTTCCACGGATCAGCCCCCATTCGGTCAAGTTTGTTAATAAAAGCAAGTCGTGGAACCTCATATCTTCTCATTTGCCTATCAACAGTAATTGACTGACTTTGTACACCACCAACACTACACAGGACAAGAATGGCACCATCAAGTACACGTAAAGCTCTCTCAACTTCAATAGTGAAATCGACGTGGCCCGGTGTATCAATTATGTTAACCTGAGAAAGCAAACAAGAAAATCAATAAAAAGTGGAAGCATTAACAATATAGCATCGTCTAATTTAACCATCTTACAACAGACATGACTTCTTGGTAAAAAAATTAATTAAGATGCTGCTTATTGGACTAATGGAGTGCTAAAAGAAAGTAGTAGATGATATTTAATGGTTCCCTTAGCCAGGTCTTCACTATGATTATTTTCATTAGATGGTCAGCCTTTTCCCTTTCTTTCATGTCTCCATAAGAGCTAAGCCTTTTTTTTTTTTAGCGTTCTCCTCTGAGAATATTAGCTACGACCAACAAAATTCACTATACTATCCAATAATGCATCTATTTGGCATCATATGTCATCCTTTACATAAGAAATCGAACCTCATTTACATTGACTTGACATTAGAATGGTTGTCCTACTTAGATGAATGAATCCTTCACATTAACATTTCTTCATCATTACATTCAAAACCATTACCTACGAAATACTAAAGAGAGCGAAGAGACAATTGCTTCGTTCTGTTTACCCACCTCTCTAATCATGGATCTACTCTCAGTCGAGCCATCCCCCAAACTTTCAATGCTTAAGATTGCATTCAATAAAAAAACAAAACTCAGCTAAACAAGTTTCAATTACTTAGTTCATTAAGAAAAAAGAAAATAACCTAAATTTGGAGATGATGTAACTCATTAAGCTAAAAGTTTCACATGAATATCTAAAATACCAAGTGAAAAAATAACTCTGTTTATCAATAAATCAACATGTATACTAGTAATTAAGCTGAATTTAGTTTAAAGAGGAACCTGATAATCCTTCCAGGTACAGTATGTAGCGGCAGATTGTATAGTAATCCCTTTCTCTCTCTCCAAATCCATGGAATCCATTTTCGCTCCAACCCCATCCTTCCCTCGGACCTCATGAATCTCGTGGATCCGACCCGTGTAGAACAACACCCGCTCCGTGAGCGTCGTCTTACCCGAATCGATATGAGCCGAAATCCCGATGTTGCGGAGCTTCTGCAGGGAGTCTTTCCACCAGGTATCCTTCTCCTCCCTCAGCCGTGCGGCGGCGGCACTGCCGGCGGAGAAATAGCGGATGTTGAAATTTCCGGTGAGCAGGGCGGCGGTAGAGGTTCGAGGCGCGGGGCTGATGGACGCCGTGCAGAGGGAGTAGAGGAGGCGCGTCGATTTGGATCGGGCCGAGCGTGCTGCCATTTTTTCTTCGAGGGTTTTTGTGAAAAACCCTGCCCACTGGAAAAAAAGGAAAACGAAAATGAAAAATGGAGCAAGTTTTTTAGTGGGTTTTACACAGGGTTTTTCAATATTTGTGACAGTAAATAAAATTCGTGTTAAAATTAAGGGTAAATTACCATCAAGCCCTCAAGGTAAGACCATATTACAACAATCCCCTTTTTATTTTTGTAATTACAACCGTCTGTATTATTTTACACTATACTTCAAGGGTAGCCGTAATTTGCGCTAAAATTAAATAGCTGAAATAAACAATTATATTTCACTAATTTCTTGTCATTTATTAATTCGTTACGAATTTGATAATTTAAATGGATCATTATACGATTGATGTACATATATTTGAAATTTGAGGCAAACAATATAGTATATAGTATATACTAATAAAAGGAAAAGATTTAAAATTAAAATTGTGGGATATTGCATTAATGATTAACCGACCAATGGTAGGCCTTAACTTGTTATTAAGGTAACATTAATCTCATAAACTAAATTAACTTTAATGTTTTTTTTATAATTAATTAAGTACTATATATAATAAGGATATATAAGTCTTTAGTATATTTTTAATAAATATATAAATAGTTAATTAATTACAAGATCTAAAAGAATATTATATAATTATAAACTTAATAATTCATTAGCCAACTGCAATTTCATAAATTACACAATGGTAAGTACTTAGACCATACTCAACTGCAATTCACAAACTCTATGCAGTGGTATCACAATCCATATTAATTAATATCATGGATTCCTAATTTAAAATTAAAAATAAAACATAAACAAAATCAAATTAAAACCTAATTAATAAATTAATTAATCAGAATTGAACAATTTCAGAAACCAATCCACCACTAATCTTGAAACCAAAGCCATCAAAGCTTCCATTGCGCCTCTTCTTGGTAGTGCTGCAAAGCTTCACAAACTCCTCCACCACCACATCAATCTCCTCATCCCCTTTAGCCTTGATCTTCTCACTCATAACCCTAGCCTCCCTCCGCACCGACTCCGCCTCGTCTCCGCCCACGACCCGCCGTATCACCGCCGCCACCTCCTCCTTCTCGAGCAACCCGTCCCCGCTCCTCCCGACCTCCACGCCGACGCCGATCTTGCCGACCAACCTAGCGTTTAGCGGTTGGTCGAGATGCATCGGCATGGCTATAATCGGCACGCCGAACTTCATGCTCTCCATCATTGAACTACAACCGCAATGGCTCACGAAACCGCCTATGCTCTCGTGCACGAGGATTTGAGCTTGTGGGGCCCACCCCTCGACGACCAAACCCCGACCGCCGACCCTCTCGAGAAACCCTAATGGCAAAGACTCCTCTAGGGTTTTCTTCTCCCCCTTCGGAAACCGAACCACCCACACGAAGTTCACTCCGCTCAACTCCAACCCTAACGCTAGCTCCCTCAAATCCTCGGGTTTCAAAAAATACTCGCTCCCGAAAGAGACGTAAACCGTAGAGCATTTTCCCTTTCCATCGAGCCACTCCATGATTTTCGAGCCCTCGGTTTCATGGGTAGGGTCTTGAACTAACGGGCCCACGGGCACGATTTTCTTGCCCAACAAGTTACCGAGGTAGTCGATGTACTCGCCCTCGATTTCCTTAAAACCCTTTATCAAGATTATCCTATTCGACCGCGCGATCCCCAAGAAGGCGTTCCTTTTCACCGCCTCGTTGGAGGCCAACAAGTTGGCGCGGTGCACGAACTCGTAATCGCGGTAGGCGATCAAGTCATGGTGGGGGAACTCGGTCATCGGCTTCCCCTTGAAGAAGTTGAACATGTAGGCGGTCATGGTGGATGAGCTAGTGATGAACTCCACCGCCGGCACGTGGTGGATGGACGCCACGAGCGGTGCCCACGGCTGGAGGAAGTCGTAGACGAGCAAGTCGGGCTTGATGGACGCCAAGATGTTGGAGAACTGCGGCTTGGAGTTCTCGAACGCCAGCTTGAGGCTCGGCATTAGGTTCGGAGGGAGGCCGTTGGTGGTGTGGTAGCAAGAGGGGAGGAGGTCGGTGCCTAAGTCGAGCTCGACGAGGCGGATCGAGTGGGAGAATTTATCTCCGATCTTCGACTTGATTGAGCTTAGGTTTGCCTTGGTGGAGCACAAGTGGATGATGAAGTTTCTCTTTGAAAGTCTTTTGGCAAGTTCTAGGTATGGTGAAATGTGGCCGTGGGCTAACCAAGGGAACATTAGTACATGGATTGTTTTGAGGTTGTAAGACTCCATTTTTTTTTTCTTGTCGGAATTCTTGAAAATTTGAAAATTAAAAAATTGGATTAGGGTTTCTTGGTGAGGAAGATGAATGGGGATAAGGGGTTGTTTTATAGAGTGGTTTTGAATTGAATGTTTCCATGTTTATTGAAGGAAAGAAATTGAATGTAATGAATTTTATTTATGGAATTTTCCTTGGTTAGTTGTAGTAGAGAATCGGTTTATTTTCGGTTATTTATTCTATTGAATTCACGTGGTTAATGGTGGGGGAAAAGGTAAATGGATATCTGCATGAAATTATTTAAAAGTGACACGTACTTAATTTATGAATTTCCTAATATTGTTATCGAGTAATCAAATTATATTTAATTTACGATGAGGTTTAATTTGTAGCATTTTTTTTTCTTTTTGGTAATTGTGACAATAGTTTGTTGTGAAAACACCTAATTTATTATACAAGCAATCATAAAAATAAATCATGGATTAGAATTGTGCCGGCCGATTTACAAATTTGATTTGCTATGAAAGTTATTAGAGAAAATAATGCTGGAAAATAGAAGATAAAAAATAATAATAATTATTATTATTAAGTATACAAAAATTATAAATATGTCATTACGATTTCTTTGGTAGCACCACCGTTTCTTACTTTTATATATTAAAATTAATTGTTTTAACATAATAATAGACCTACACATTTTATTTTTTAATTAGATTACACACACACACATATATATATATATATATATATATATATATATATATATATATATATATATATATATATATATATATATATATATATATATATATATATATATATATATATATATATATATATATATATATATATATATATAT